TGTAATTTTTATTACATTAAATGAAATTCAGAACTTGTTAGTGTTCTATTTTCTAGTTTTCTAGCCTTGTACTACGTGTTGCAAAACACTTAAACTAAAATCCCCATTAATTATTACCAGTTAAGAATATACCAATACGTGGTTTCAGTTACTAATTTACACTAAACCAGGTTAATAGGCAAGTGTAATGAATCTCTGTGGACTGTGTTGCTTTTTAAACTTTTAGAATTACATTTTATGTTCTTTCTATCTGTTTTGTGTTAGTTGCTTTTTTTTTCTTTCTAATTAGTTTAATATACAAGCTGTTTCTGAATATGCCTTGATTACTTACAAAATTTCTGAAGCATACTTTCCTCTCATGCATTTTGTATTTTAAATGTGCTCAACTAGCAGACTTCAAACATTTTCATTTAGTTTAACCTTTCAACCATTGTAGTTACAAATGGCATCAAAATGCTGTAGCTCTGCTCAAAGCAAAGACAGTTTCATACCCTTCATTGAGTTTGTGAGACTTGGTCAGTGTAACTCTTTAGGATGGTGGAAAATTTATAAAGTCCAGGTTGTCCTTGTCCCAAGATAGAATTATGCAGCACTTGCTGAAACACATTTTCTAACTGCAGATTTTCCGATTTTTTGCAGGTTCATATTGATATGATTTAGACCTGATTGGATTTGCTGCCTCGGCAGTAAGTGGCAGTATATTTCTATCAGAAACACATGTGAGGGAGGTACACAGCATTCTTAACTGATTCTGATACATGCTGTGAATAAATTGCAGCATCTTTCTGCTCCTCTTATGCCATTCGAAGGGCACTCCAGGCCTGAATGTGCTCACAGAAGTAGCACTACCCACAGGTCTCAGGGTGACCCTGGTGACCATGATGCCTTCAGAAATACCCAGAGGATATCATATTTCAGCTCATCCTCACAGATTCCTATGTGCTTTAGGGATGATATACACATAGTAAGTGGAGGTGATTTTTCTTTTGTCCACTGAATAAAATGTGACCCAAAATCTGAGGTCTGGTGAGGGCTAACCCTTCAAAGCTAACTCTCCAAAACTAACTCTCAAGGAGACATTGAGACTACCAATGGAGAGGATCTCTCTTGGGAAAGCAATCATACCGAAGTGTCTGCTTACAGAGTGTAGTCTCTATATTCTTGCTGTATGTAGAGTCTCAGCCCATAAGGATTCTGTCCTTTACTTGAAGTATTCCATCCAGTAGCACTTCAACTCTCTCTGAGAGTTCAGAGAATGGGTTAAAAAGTACCACATTGCACTGCTAAATAACACGTTAAAAGCAGAACAATTCATATCAATCCCTCTGAAGTTTATGTCCTTTATAAGCATTAATCTCAGTAAGCAAGTCTCACCAGCAGAACACTCTGGCGATTCTGAGCTTGGTTATGTAGCAATTTATGGAGCTCTGACAGTCCTGGATCAACCCCAGTAGCTACAAAGATGCTTCCAGAGTAATACTTAAAGCTGCTCTTGTTTGATATGATCCTGTATTCCTTAAAGGAATAGAATAAAAGCTGTGTGTATCATTTGACACAAATTTTAGATGTGTGCTTTAAGTGAACTAAATTAAATATTAAAATTACACTTTACTGCATCCAGGTTAAAGTGTTGTTTCTTCAGACCCTTACTTTTCAAGGTATTAGTACTTTCTGCAACATCAGCTAGATTGGATTTTGCTTGCCAGCATTTCAAAAAGGACATGATGTTGGAAGACCAGGTCTGGAAAAGTTGTTTGTAAGTGGAAATCTGTATTGAATTTGGAATATTTTGACATTCAGTTTTCAAACATTCTGTGACTGAAGTAACTGCAGTTGTTTTTTACCATTTCCTTTCTTCACAGGATAACATGCAAATATCTGAGCAGTAGTTAGAGAAAACCTTGTTACCAAATATATGTAAAGAATACATAAAATTCAGTAGCAGTACTGTCCTGTATAATGCCCTACCCTTTTTATTTCCTGTTTGCACTAATCTATTGAGATAAAATAGGCAATATAGTAAAATCTTTATGTATACTCATATCCTCAAAAATGTCTGAAACAGAATGAATCGAGTTAAACATACTTGTATTAGATGGATTGTTCTTAATGACAATAGAAAAAGCAAGAAGTACACCTTCATTTCTAGTCTGTTCTGGGATTGTTTTCAGCTTCATTAGAACAAAGCTAATGCCACACTTACTTTCTATTTAAGTCTTATTTTGAAGGTTAATTGGAACTTACTTATAATGCATTAAAATGATTCCCAAGTGTGAAGAGGAATTTCTCCCTGGATGATGTAATCAAGTTTAATTTTCTGTAATTTTGTCTCACCTGCTCCCTCCCAAATTATATAACATAGAAAATATGTCCAAAGAAAGGAGTTCTGTCATATTTTGGAGATCTTACCTTTTGAGTATGTCACTTCATGTCTTCCAGCACAAGTAATTTTTATTAAAAAAGTAAAAGTTATTTGCTTGCATTTCTGGACTTATTTTAATTACTTACATTCAAGCATACAGTAGCTAGCAAAGCAAGGATGTACCTAATACAAAGTCATATTGGCTTTTAATAATGTCTAATATAAAGAAAAATGCTAGACATATCTGTAGGTCATATAATTAAATATTTATGCCTGTATTAAGTAATACTGGGAAGCTTTTTATTTATTTATAATTTTGTGTCTTTTCAAGTCATATTCTAGAATCCATGTCCTAAAGTCTGTTCAATTCTCAGAAGAGCTTCTAAAGGGCAAAACCACTAGAGCAGAGTAACGGAACTCTATCTTATTTGATAAAACTGCCAAAACCCACCCCTGCTACCAAAAAGGAGAATGTCTAACCTTTCCCTGCAATAATAGTAAGGTCATGAGTTCTATCGTGAAATATATTTTTACTGGAGTAGATCATTTATTGGTGTCAGAGTCATAAAGGAAAACCCACTGGCAGTGAGAAAACCATACAAGAGAAAATGCTAAAACAGCTCAAGCAAGCAGGTTGTGAAACAATTAAAAATAACTTTAAAGGAATTAATTCTCTTTAACTAGTGTATTTCCAAAATTAAAATTTACCGTGTTAGATACAAATTTCGAGCCACCTCCTTTTACTTATCAACGTAATCTAATTAAGCCAGTTTAAACCAAGACAACTCATAAGAGCTCAGATCCTTTGTCCTTTATTAGTTTTATTCTTAAAACAGCTGCAAAGCAGCCCACAACCGTATGTCACATTAAGAAGTCATTCGGCATATTGCTATATAAATAGCTCATGAATTCTATATGAAGGAGAGTTTCTTCTTAAGAAATATTGGAAGAGGGTTTGCTTTTGCCTACAAGCCTAAATAATAAAACATTATTTTCTACACCATAGTCAGTTTTAAGATTCATATCAATGCTGTAGTAGCCCGTAGCTAGAAAGTAAGTAATTGAGAATAGTAGGATTTCAATAAGGCACTCAACGTTTATTCATACCATTTTCTACTACTACCTGACACATAATGTGAGTTAGTGGAATAATGGAAAAGTATTGCAAATTATACTGTTAAATAGAAATGGGATCTGGTGATATTGAATGTGCACATGCAAAGGATGTAGAAAGTACCCTAAGAGCCAGTGTCACTATTGTGAATTAAGTGAACTCTGCGTTAGATGAAAATCTCCCTGCTTACTTAATAGGAAGGGGGGAGGAATAGTAAAAAAAAAGAAAAAAAATTGACTGGTTTTTTGTTGTTTTTTTTTTTAGTATGAGATGACACATTAATATTACATGACTTCTGAACTAAATGAATAGAGACCCATGAGTTCCACTTCAAATATGAAAAACTATAATTTTCTGTGTTTTGAAGTTTTGTGACATTATTGTAGAGGATTGAGAGAGATCAAGAAAGGACTCTAAATATTGTCACAATAACTTCTGATAAAAATGCTTCTGTTTTGTATTAATGTCTTGTGAAGCAGTCAATAATACACAACTTTTTGCTGTATATGTTGCAGAGTTTCTCTTTCGCGCGTAGTTATTGGAGGAACAACCTCATTACCTATGCCATTGAAAACTAAGTTTTGTGAAAAGAATGAAGGCATTTTTCATAGCAGTTTATACAGCTGACCATAAACTGAGCATGGATCAGTATGTCACATTCTGTAGCTCTGGTGCAAAGTCTCGTATTGATTGGAGTTGACAGGGAAATGCCCATTGTTAAAACCCATCCACTGTTAGCAGAAATGTGGCATGAAACAGGTTGAACATGTGATAGCTGCTGGCACTTTGAATGTAGTCTATTCAAATGTCAGATTAGTAAAGCAGTTTGGGGTGGGTTTTTTTGCATTGTGCTTAACACAAGCTGGAAAAATCTGGTGCGATGGTCATTTCCTGCTGAGTCAGAATGCAGCAAAGCTGCTCAAATGTGAATGCAGTGGCCTACAGGAGATGGTTCCTTTCTGGTCTGTGTTGGAGAAGAGGTTGCAGCTTGTTTGGAAAAGTAGAAGTGATCAAAGATCTTCTATGACACTTGTGAAGGAAAGTATTTTGATATGTTTTTACAACTCTTCTTTCAAAGCACAGTTTATCTCTCTGGTTGCCTTGCCTTTGGGGTTTTTTTTTAGTGAATTGCTAGCATTTGTGAATATGTGGTTGCTAGAAGAGATAGCACTTCAGAGTGTTTAGCGCATAATATTGAAAGAAGCTTAAAATCAACAACAGATCTATAAAGATAACTGGATTATGTTACAGAAATAATTTTAGTAAATGGGATTTACCCAATATATTTCTCTAAATGAAAATCTTAACATATGGGTATTTCTATCCAAACTAGAGAAGTTGGACTACTTCCTCTCTTTCAGAGAAAACAGACTGAAAAATCTCCCAGCTGTATTCCTGCTCTACTAATTTTGTTTCCCTCCTCTTCACTAGTTCTTGCCCATGTGGAGAAGAATAGGCTTTTCTTGTGTGCTCTCAAGTGAACCTTAGGAAGAAGTTGTTTTTCTTGGAAAGTAAGTTTCTCTGTATCTATTCTTCTCTCTACTTCCCTTCTCATATCTCCTAAATATGCTTGGTTTGCATTTAGAGGAAACTTTTAAAACCTTTGAAAATGCTGCATGTTGGTTGGCTCCATGGATGATATCTTATGGAAGTTCCTTGCTGACCTCATATATTCATTTTAGGTTATATGTGAAATATTGGCAAATTCCCTGAAAAAAAATACTGCAAGAAATGAATGATAAAAGGTTGGTCTGATGAACTAGGCAAAGATGATCTCTCATTAGGGAGGAGAAGCACAAATTTCCCATTTACTTTACCCTGTCAGAATGACTGAGCTCCAATATTGAGAGTTTCATCTACAAGTAATTGCTTCTGGTCTCTCATGAACACTTTGTCTACACAGTGTTTGATAGATGAGTGCAAAGAAGGGCCATAACATGTTGCAGAGCCCATTCACCTTTCTTTCCATGCCTGGGAAGAAAGCCTGCAGTTGCAGAGCAGTAATTTGTAGAAAACTGATCCATGGCCAGTGGCCTGTTTGGGCTGATGTAGTCCTGTGCACTCTGTCTGGCCATACCTGGGACCACACATAAGAGCTTGCTATTATTTATTCTGTCTCGTCCTGTGGGTCGCCTCCTCTTGCTCTCAAGGGAGGATATTCCCCCTGCTTCTGGGACAGCCCTCCAGCAGTCGACTGGAGCACTGTGAGGACTGCTGGTGATCTTCTGCCAACCAGAAGATGCCTCTCTGGCTTCAGCTTTTTAACCTTTTTAGTAAAATGTTCAGGTAGAGAAGTTTGTAAGGTACAGGAAGGGGAAGAGAGGGAGTTACAGCTTAAGCAGCAATGGGAATGATGGATTCACTCCTGCAGTGCTTACTCAGGACTCTTACAAAAGGCAAGTGGTTGTCATAGTGTAACAGATGTGCTTGTTCTTGAATTAACTGCGGTGGATGCTGTCATCATTGTACGTGTCTAGTAGTTAATATTTTGTTCAGAAAGCTGCTATGTGCTACATATTAGACATGGGAATGAGAAGTTCTGCAATTGGATTGTGTTGATCTCATCAGATAGGTTCTGTGGAAGACAAAATATGAGAAGGTCTCTAGGTTTGCTTGTACTATTAAATGAAAAAATTAGTATCTAGGAGCAGTGTTAAGCTATACAGACAAATGTCAGCCTGATTCCTAACTCAGTAAGGGACAAAGCTTCTCAAACATATCACATAGAGTGACTTCAGGATACCGAAGCAGTAAATCATAGAGTAATTTGGGTTAGAAGGAATCTCTGCAAAAATCCTCTTTCCTTTGCTCACAGCAGGGCAAAATTCCAAGGTAGACTGGCCTGACCAGGGTTTATCCACTGAAGTTTTCAATATCTGTAAGGTTGAAGATTTCATTTCTACCTATCTTGACACCTGTTCCAGTGTTTGAACACCTTGTGAAATATTTTTTTTTCTAGTCTCTAATTGAAGTTTCCCTGGCTACAACCTGTGTCTGTTGTCAGGTGAGATAAGTCTATCTAAAATAAGTTCAGGTGGAAAACTGGACATAAGGAGTGGTTTAAACTAACGACAGAATTAATAAAAATAAACTCAGTGCTTTCAAAATAGACATGGGACCTCACTTTGACCTCCAATCACTAGCAATTTTTTAGTTGAAGAGAAAGAGGTTAGGCTCATCATAGGACTTGCACTCAGGACTTTTTACTTGACTGCCCCCTGGATGTCAAGGTCAGAAAGAAGTTGCAAGTACGTGCAAGTTGTAGTCCAGTATTTAAAATAGCCCAAATATTAGTGGAGTATTGGAGCATGTAATAGGGACATACCTTCTCACGGCATCATAAAAAACATGTTCCGAAGAGGAGGACAAAACATGAACATATAGACACAATCACTTTTTTTTCTGTGTAGTTTTGCTTTCAACACACAGCAAGGAGAAGTATGTGAATTGTCACCTTTTTGGTGAGGGAACAGGATTCAGAGGGGCAGCAGTTAAGCTATTCCATTCTTTAATTTCTTATTCTGCCTGCTTCCAGTGAATACCCACCTGGGAGGCATGCAAAAGAAAAGCTAGAAAATCTTTCACATAGAGTAGAATTTGCTTGAAGACACAGCTGGCCATATTTCTCAAGAAACACTTCATTTCCTCAAGAAATAAGGATAATTTGAAGTCAGATTTCTATAAAATCCTCAGTTTCCTTATATTTTGAATAAGTCTCTGATCAGAGAACTTTTTAGGGTATGTGGTGTATTTAACAGAAGGGCAGCATTATTTAAATTCAAAAAGGTGTCAGTTCCCAGCAGAGAAAAAAAAAGAACAGGAAAGTGGGTGTTGAAAAGGAAAAATAAAAAAATTCTGTAAGAAATCAGAAAAGCAAAAAAGTCAGAGGAAGCATCTAAAACCACCACAGAGCTGAGAAGGTAAAAAATGTATGAAGAGCATTAATAAGAACTGGTGATTGAATTTTAATTTTCAAAGGAAAAGACGTTTAAATAACCCATAGTAGTAAGCAGTGTTCACACTAGGACACATAAGGAGAAATCCAACATCTAAAGTTAACCAAAGAAAAAATAATCAATGATGTTTTATTACTGATGGATATGTTTTGTAGAGACTCTGCGAAGCGTCTGGTACAGAACATTAAAGAAAAAAAGTCTGAAAATAATTTGTAGACTAGTTCATGACAGAAACTACAATAGGAGGATCACTGTGCTCTGGACATGGAGCTAATAATCCCAGTTTAGCACCTGGGGCACTGCTAGTCCCAGGGACTTGCTATTCCTTGTTTTAATGCTAAATTTTGGCACTTATAGGAGCCATATAGGAAAACACATTCAGTTTGAAAGCTGATTCAGAGGGAAGTGATCCATGTCCAAATAGAATTGGTTGGAAAGCAGGCTGGTTTTTGTGAAAAGCTGGTCATATTCATTAGAAAGATAAACACTAAAATACAAAGATTTTTCAAGTTGGGAATTTTCAGAGAAAGGTCATAATTTTCGATAAGAAGCAGACACATTTTCTGGAAGATTTTTGGTTTATCATGAATCTAGTCTTATAGGACAATGTTTGCCAGCCTTAGCTTGTTAATAATCCTAATTCACCTCAGGTATAGAAGATAAATGATATTCAAGAGGTAAAAGTTAAAAATTATTAGTTTTTTGTTTAGCTTCTTAATTTTTCAGCAGTGCTTTGCCTTCCTGTAGGCTGGCATTTCACTTTTTTTGGTCCATTTTGTGGTTTGTTTATCCTTTGGAAAGTTAGCATCTCATGACATTTATATCTACCTAAAAGTCATCTAGAAGATGATATTTGGAATGAAATAAAAAGAGGAGTAGAAATTAACAGGGAAGCATACAGTGTAACAAAGGATAAAGGATAGGTTATAAGTTCTGTGAAGATGTTCTTTTGGTGTCTTAGATGATGTTTAGTTTGTACACTTTGAAAACTGTGGATGGTTGGTCTTGTGTTTGCCTTGCCTAATGGAACACACCACAAATGTAGTCACAGTACAAATAATAAAAACAACAGTCAGACAGAGATGAAAACATTTAGGCCACTAAAGAAATAAGTTGGAAGAGGCAGGGAAAGAGTTATTGAGATAATTGAATGGGGAGGGGGCCATGTCTCTAACAATTCTTACAGAAATATGTGGGGTTTGTTCACTATGTTGTCATGGGTTTTTTGTTACTGGATTGTCTGATGTTTACTTCTTTGTTTTAAAATCCAGGAGATGAGTTTTAGAAATTATGTTGCTTATAGAAGTTATATATCCTTCTCTGTTATGTCTTTCCATCCTCTGATGGATTTACAGAAAGTTAAGAGAGAGAACAGAAAATACTTAAAGCACAGTAAGAAGAAGAGGCCCATGAAAGAGACTTTACTGTACCTGATGGTTGGCAGGTAAAATGTATTGATGGAAGGATCACATTGCTTAAAAGAATTGCTTCCTGCATTGACCTAAAAAAAAAAAAAAAGGACAAAGATCTGAATGCTAGGAGTGAGTAAAAACTTCCCAAGGAAAAGGTAAAGGAATCAGACATTTACAGAAATGCGTAGTCAAGAAATAAGTTTATTGAAAGAGGCAACTTTTTCATATTCAGTGTGCGTGATATTTATTGATAATGCAAAAGGCAGCCAGACACAAGTGCTGACCCCATCATTTGACTGTAGCAGGCAAGTTCCCTGCTACTCTAGCACTGAAGACATGAGTTTGAAAGCATGCAAAATGCAATGCTGTGATATGCCTGAATCTCGAACAAGGTTTTGTCTTCTGTCAGATAGAGCTGCTTTTTTAAATGCTGGTGATTTTTGATCTCCAGAGTATATAGTCCTGATTAATTTCTTGTTTATAATACAAGGACTGTTTCCTGAAGTCATGAAAATGCACGATTACAAAATATGACATTTGTTTAAGGGCAGCTGATGGGTCTGGTAGCAAAACTACTGCGCAGAGTGGGCATGCAGCACCGCAAGTGTGCCACAGACCTCTCCTTAGCTGAGGTGTGAAACAGCTGTCACAGTCATGAAACACTCGAAAACCAGTGCATCTGGCAAATGCCCTTGAGAGACACGTTAGCTTTCACCCTAGCAGCCACATATCCAAGGAGACATTTGTTGCAAGCTAAAGAACATTCATTTTTGTAATCATGTGTCCCACAACTGGGTGGAGAAAATGAGCTGTTCCACAAGCAGAAAAATTAATAAAGCCTGATCTTTTCCAAATTTTACCTAGGTCCCCACATAATTCTTTGCAATAACCCCAGCCCTCTTTCATACCTACTCCACTCCCACGAACTCTTTATTTCCCCAGAATATCACCAGTTTCCCCCTGGGTTGTACTCCTCTCTGGCTTAGCAACAGACAGCATGTTGCCCGTTCAGAGCAGAGAGAGGGGTTTGCTGGCCGGCCATTACCCCCCAGGATAAAATGGTAGTTATCATAAATATCTCTCCTCTACCCAATTGCCAGTGTTCATTTCCTTTCAGAACCTTAATTATCTTCAGTACTGTGGCCCCTCTGCTGATTTGTTTGAAATTGGTCAGCGGTTTCACAAGTTACCAGGAAAGACCAAAAGCTCCAGGAGTCGGGTCTCATTTCCTTAGGAAACCAGAATTTAAACAAACCGTCACAGGTCAGTGATCAGATTGCATCTTCTGCTGAGAAATTCATGGGCTGAGCCAGTCAGAGCTACAAGTCTAAAACAAATCTGTGCAGCATGATGCCATTTTATCAGCATGACTGTTATATAGGCCCCATATGCCACAGGAAAAAACTACCTTAGAGGTACTTTTAGCAAAGAAAGCTGATCTTGTAAAAAGTAAAACTTGTATATTTCACCTGCTAAAGCTGTCCCTTTGCCTCTCCCTCTCCCTTGCCTTCTCCCTCTCTTTCTCCCTTTCCCTTTTCCTTTCCCCTTCCCTTTTCCTTTCCTGCTTTTTCCTTTGCCTTCCCCAAAAATTCCACTTTGTTTTTTTCAGATGGGTGCCTGGCTCAGAGTAAAGGACATGCAGTGCACAATCTCTAGCAGAAGTTGAAAATGGATGATGCCTACTGATGCTTTTCGATGATGTCATCTCCTTTTTTCCTGTTTGAGATGTGTGATAGGAAAAAGTTCTAAGACAAGACTGACTGACCTCTTCATCCCTTGACTTCTCTTTCTGCAAGTCTAAAAACCATCTGAAGAAATGACCACTCAGCTACCAGAGGAGTCCCTGGAGACCCAGAGCTCAGATGAGCTTGAGTGCAAGATATGTTACAACCGCTATAACTTGCGACAGAGAAAACCGAAAGTGCTGGAGTGTTGTCACAGAGTATGTGCCAAATGCCTTTGCAAGATCATAGACTTTGGTGATTCCCCACAAGGAGTCATAGTGTGCCCGTTTTGCAGGTTTGAAACATGCCTGCCAGATGATGAGGTTAGTAGTCTTCCTGATGACAACAATATCCTTCTAAATTTAGCTTGCGGGGGAAAGGGAAAGAAGTGCCTACCAGACAACCCAACGGAACTGTTGCTGACTCCCAAAAGGCTGGCATCTCTAGTTAGCCCTTCTCACACCTCTTCTAATTGCCTGGTTATAACAATCATGGAAGTACAAAGGGAAAGTCCTCAGACTCTGAACTCAACCCCCGTGGTGGAATTTTACAGGCCTACAAGTTTTGACTCTGTTGCAACTGTGTCCCACAACTGGACAGTGTGGAACTGCACATCCTTGCTCTTCCAGACCTCAATTCGGGTGCTAGTGTGGTTGCTAGGTTTGCTGTACTTTAGTTCCTTGCCTTTAGGGATTTATTTACTGGTATCTAAGAAAGTTACCCTTGGGGTTGTCTTTGTAAGCCTTGTTCCTTCGAGCCTTGTTATTCTCATGATTTATGGCTTTTGCCAGTGTGTTTGCCATGAAGTTCTAGACTGCATGTCATCTTGATAACAAATATAGTAAAATAAGATGTATTACCAGATGTGTAGCATAGTTGATTTATCCTGTCTTTGTATTCTTATTTGTTCTTATTGTTGTCCATCCCACTAAATGGAAGCAGTAGCCCTAGTTATATGGTCCTTTTTTTTCCCTACTGAATTTGATTCCCCCTACCCAGAGCTTTTTTTTGAGCTAAAAATTGGAAATAAAATTTACATGTTGATTTTCAAAGGCCAAGTTTTAGAAAGAGATAAAGCAAAATTGCCAAACTTGGTGCCGCCTACTGCTGCCACTGTTCAAATGAGTAGCCCTTTGCTTTCTGTTGGCTTCATCAAGTCAGTCCAGGCTGCAGGATCCACCTAAAAGAAATTAATGTAACAGGCACCTTCCAGGTCCAAGTACTGCATGTCTTCACCCAAAGCATCTCATGCTTTGTAATATCTGTTGTTTATCATCCATTGTTGCTTAAAACAAATCAAATCACTTTGTTAGTTAATATTAAATGAAGAATAAGACAAGCTACCATTGCTTATTTAAGTTCTCGTTACAGCAAAAATACATGTAGGAGGCCAGTGGTTATAGTCTCGCCATATTCTGCAAAATGAGGAATCTTTTTTTACCATCTAAAAACATGTCTCCAGAACACTTTCCCCAAAAGGAAGCCTATTTTTCTTATCACACAGTTGTAGCTCACTGTGAAATATTCCTGCTAGTGAGTACTTCCAGGGACCCAGCCACATATTTGCTGTTCTCCAGGTGCACTTATTTCAGTGTACATACACCTTAGGGCTTCCCTTTGAGAGTTCAGAGCTCTGCAGACTTCTCTAGATATGTTCTGTTGCGCTTACCCTCCCTTCCAGCATTTCCACCACCACCCCACATTTCCAAGCCACTAGTCCTCCTAACAAATGAACAACCTCATGCACATGTACTCTGTGGTAGTTATGCTGGAGAATTTGACTTATGTGACTTCAGCTCTCAAGATAAACTTTTATTCCCAACCATTAGGAAATGGATCTTTAATCACTAATACAAATTGGAAAAAAGTTCTGAAATGATTAACTGGTTTTTTGTTTATTTTTTTTCTCTTTCTGAGTTCACAGAATGAGCAATTTGAGGAGATACTATGACTTTAGGAAGGTTTCTGTTTAAGGCATAGTTCTTCAAAATGTTTAATATTCTGAACTCCCTCTGTCACCATTGTCAGTTGATGGCATTCTAGATGTGGCAATTAGAATGCCTTGATTAGTGGGGCTCAGAGGAATTACTGATAATTTATCATTCCGCAAATAGACCCAGGCCCTGTAAGGCGTGCTTATATGTTGCATGGTTTAGGCTTCTTTTTGAACTACTGGAAGAGCACAAAAATAAGTAATATTTAATGTTTATGTGTATAACTAGGTCTAGTCAATGCCACAACTGCAAACTGGTTTTCCTGTGCACAGCAGAGTAAAAGCTGAAACGGAGTTGAGCAGTGCAAGGCTGGTTTTAGGCACAAGATTTAGTCATTTCGGGGCAGTGTAAAAGGGAGATGGATTTGTTGCATGAAAACTGAATGTATGACCCAACAATATACTCTTAGAGCTAACAGACTTTGGTAAGAATGAAAAATGACAGTGGGAAAAGCAGAGCCTAAGTGGTTGTTGTGTCTGTCAAAAGGATCTGAAATTAAGCTGGTCCAATTTTTGTAGATGGCAAAAGTGGTATCTACAGTTATATTCCTATTGCAAACATAGAGAAAAACAAGGAAATGTAAAGGTTCTGCTTTTCTTGACACTCAGTTTCTAATAGTGCGTATATATGTGTGTGTATGTACATATAGACACATATGTAAGAAGAAAACATAGCAAAGTTATAGTTTTCAAGTGTTTGGGGTTATGGAGCTGTGTATCGAATGATTAAAGGAAATGTTTCAGACTTTTCTGTAATGACAATAATTATAACTAAAATATTTTCAGAATTCCTAGAAATAACTATTCCTAAGTAATTGTTTTTAACGTCTGTGTAAAGCACATGTAGTTAGAAGAGGTATCATCTCCAGTTCTGGTATACTGCAAGGTTTGACTCATCTATGAACTCATAAATTTTAAGTATCCAACAACAATCGTGTCAAAAAGCAAGAAAAAAAGAAACCTATGTGGTTTTATAGTACTTCATAACTTTGGGAAAAGATGTATTTGTAGTGTTAGGGATTTACATGTTTTAGGATTTGTTCAATTTGTCTGAATACAGTGTCTCTAATAAAGGGCTGACTGATAGAGGAAGTAGGTTTTGCAAATGTGTGATATATATGTATTACCTTTGCACAACATGTTCTACAGCGCTACCTGTTGTCTTTTCCTTTTGATTTTCATCTGACTAAGTTTATCTTAGGTCCAGTACCAGGTATTTTCTTTTCTGTTTTAAAAGAGAGCCTAATCTCAGCAAGATTAGGCTGATGCAGTCATATCAGTTACATATCACAGCAAAAATAAATACACCTGTTATTATACTTCCCTACTTTTAAGACTGCCAGCCCATTAAATTTATACTGCTGTTTTAGGCTGTGCTGCAATACTAACCCAATCAAAAATGCAAGCGTGCAAAAACCTATTGATTGTATAGCTATTCTACCGCTCACCCAGAGCACATTATTACAGCTTTGGTGTCGTAAAATACCTATATGACTTACAGTATGGCCATTAAGAATTGCTGGGAGGTAAATCTCAATTATTTGTGGAGAAGATATTTGCTGTGAGACTAGAGGAACTTCAGATATTACTCTTCTCTTATTTTTATTCTCTACCATCCTTAAGAGTTAGAACTGAAAACTCTTGTGTCCTCTGCAGTGGAATAACTCTGATGAAATCAATGTAAATGGGGCTAAAATCAAGTCTGGCATACTTGGCTGCCTGCTTTTCCTTGTCTTTCTCTGACTGTTTTTCTCTTCCTGGAAAGTAATGGCTCCTGTGGTTGTAAAATACTGCCTGCACACACAGGCAATTCCCTTTCAGTGGGATTTATTCCTGCTATGACCAGACATATGACTCAACCAGGTAAAAAGTATTATAAATTCATTACTACAGGATTAATTTTGTCCAAATGAGATTTTTATTTTTTTTCAATTCCTGCTTATCCTATGGATGCAGACTGCATCCTCACCAGCTGCTCATTTACAGTGTGATATAGTGATATCCCCTGAGGGCTGGGGCAGGATGATGCAGTAGCAGCTGCTGGACACAACATAGGAAGGATGTTCTGAGCTGGACCATCCTCTGAGCGAGACTCAGTGAGGGATGAAGCTCTGCCAGTGTGGCCTGAGCCCAAGAGCCTAAAGGACAATTAAATAGGATACGGGACTGGGGTTGTGCTGTGGCTGAGAAGCTGTGCAAAGCAGAGATGGGTCTATGCCTGGACAAAGGGGCTGTGTTTTAAATAAGGATTTTGGGGTACAGCTGCTGCAAACAGTTTATTGTTTTTCAAACTGACTCTTCTGGGGTTTAAAATTCATTTGGTAATTAAAATTACAGTTGAGTGTTTTTACTTTCCAAATAGCAAAGTATTGAACTTTATTCTAATTTAAAGACATCCTTAGATTTGGGCATACTCCCAAAATAAGGGCTGATGTATTTGATTTAGCTGCATTGGGAGTTTGTCCTACTATATCAATTATATGCCCACAAAACTCTACATGCTAATATAAAACACTTCACAGAGTCACAGAATATGATGGGTTGGAAAGGACCCACAAGGATCAACAAGTCCAACTCCTATCCCTGCACAGGACCATCCCCAAGAGTCATGGCATGTGCCTGAGAGTATCATCCAAATGTTTCTTGAACTCTGTCAGGCTTGGTGCTGTGACCACTTCCCTGGGGAGCCTGTTCAGGGCCCTCTGGGTGAAAAACCTTTTTCTAACATCTAACCTAAACTTTCCCTGCCACAACTTCAGGCCATTTCCTCAGGTTCTGTCACTATTCACCACAGAGAAGAGAGCAGTATCTGCCCCTCCTCTTCCCCTCATGAGGAAGTTGTTTAAAATAGGCAAATGCTTGTCCTGATAACACCATCTGCAAACTTCAGAGTTGCCAGCATTTTACAATATATCCACAGATAGACACTGTTCCGAACGGACTTTATTACCTGAAGGTACAGATAAGTCTGGCAGCCCACAGCCAAACAGATAAGCACAATAGGGGAAAACACAGCTTTCCAGCTAAATGACCACACATCACTTCAACCAGAGGAAAAGGAATGGAGGAGGTTCACAGGAAGGTGGATGATATTTCTGAAGGAGGTCCTTGTCATTCAGGTACTGGACCATTGTTTTTCTTAACTCTAGCTGGTTCTAGGGATAGATTAAATTCACTGTTCCCCTTACTTTTCTGTCCCCTCTTCTGGGACAAGACTACATTCAACTGTGGGTAAACGGTATTTTGAAATGAAGTAATATTTTCTACTACACTGAGTTTGCAGCCCAGTCTAGCACAAGACTAATACTGAAAAGATGGTAAATTGCAGCCGGGATGCAAGAGTGAACAGGGTGCAGAGGGGAAATGGCAGCATGTTGTTAAAATAGTTTTAATGTCAAGGCAAGGAAAACATGTGGCCACATCCTGCCTTGTCTTGGCTGGTTCAAAAATAGTGAGAGGCCTGAGGACCGCTATGATTCAACACCCACCCCAGCGTTATCTCTGGGACAGTTCACTTCAGTTGTGCATTGTGATTTCTTCTTCAGGAGTTCTACATCATGATTTCATCTTCCTGTGTGGATGGTGGGTGGAGTGAAAGGTCCACAGTGTTACGCTCTTAAACAGGGTCATTTTGACTATCCTTAGGTTTGTCAGGGTTGGTTTTTTCCATATTTCTTCATATTTCTACAGAGCAAGACAGTGCACTTTATTTTAAATAGAGCAGTGCCTTCAAGGATTAAAAAAAAGAAAAAAAAGTGGGAAAAAAACCTGCAAATTTTGAAATAATTTTAATATATTCAAAGTGATAGAAAGAAACTGTTCTGAGAGTCTATTTTTATTTTCATGATAGCAGATTAGATGTCATACTTTGAGTGACATCAGTAAATATTTAGTGCTGGAGATTCCTGAGGGAGTTTATAAGTCTGCCAGACCTTAGGCACAAACCCCATATTCCACTGCTTTTCTCTAAAGCACCATTCTGCCTTTTGCATCAGCTACCCTTGTCAAAAGTTGAACCGTCACAGTTTATAAAGAGTTCTGGCACAAAGAACATATCCCCAGTCTGGGGATGCTAAATCATCTTTTTAGAGGCATGTGTGCCAGTAGCAAAGCTTTCAGTGCTAGACCTTAAACAAAGAGAAGTCATCTTGCAGTCTGAATTGCTAGCATAAATTTAATTTTAAATCAAGTTTCATTGTGCTGGGCAACAGTACAATTAAAAACTGTTTTATTGTTTTTCAGCCTTTTGCTTGTGTAATGTGGTTTGCATTTTAAAAAATGTATTAAATCATAGAAATCAGAGATGGGTAGAAAAAAGCCTAATAAGTAATTTTATCCATTTCCTCTGTCCCTGTAGAGATGAATGCTTTGTCTAGTCTGTTTTTAAATATGTCAAGTGATGAGGCCTCCACTTCTTCCCACAAGGGACTTTTTAGCCGTTTAATAGGCTTCTTTGTTAGGAAATGTTTGCTTCATACTGATACCAGTTTTTTCTTCTGCATAATGTAAACCCTTTATTCTCTACCCACTGTTTTAACTTTTATAAGATCTGGGAAATGTATCGTATTTATCCATTTCATACTGTAGCTGAATAGTTCATAATCCTTGTTGTTCAAGTAACACAAGGGATAAGCAACCAGTTGCTGAACAGCTAATACTTCACCGAGATGGTGTGCCATGTACCAGTAGACATATTTCCTGGCAAGTCCTGGCTCACACTGCTTTCTACATTAGGGAGTGAAAAATGTCAAGTCAAACTGAAGAAATGCATCTTCTCAAGTGCATGCACGACAATATTACTGAAATTTCAAGAGGTGCTGAGGCAAACAGCCTACTTCTTTAGACATTTTCTTTCTAAAAGTGGATGATTTTATAAAAGTATGCTTTTAAAAAAAGCATTTAAATGTCATTTTCATAAGCAAGCCTCTATGTGAGAACAGCACTATGTCAAAACTCTTAACTTGTTGAGAGACAAGGCTGAATTGATTGCCACTCACTGCTCAGCAGTTTTTGCTGACAGCTTAGCTCAGAAAAAAATTCAATCCAACGTTAAAGAGTTTGAAAAGATGCCTTTGCAACTGCGTCACTGGAATCGGATCTGTGCATGAAAAAGTGACTCATGTCTTGACAACAGAAACTGTGCATTTCTGATTTAATTACACCATATTAGATAATCCTCTGCCTGTCTCAAAGGACAAGAAGGAGCAGTGTGACTAAGGAAATCCTAGGTGGACAAATGGATTTTATATGGTTTTGCAAGATACTTACTTTAAAAAAGTGGTACTATGCTTTAGGCTGACCCTGGGTCAGGTGGAAGGTCCGCTGGGTCCCTCTAATCTAAGAGCTGTAGTGGGTGCATGTAAAAAAGTACATGAACAGCCCACATGCATGGTGAGCTTTCATATACCTCCTAATTTATAGCAATCTGCAGTTTGGAGATCTCTTGAGATGGAGGGTGTGTCTATCTGTGGGTTTGATTCTTCTCGTGTTGTTTTTAACCCATTTATAGCCTTGGCATATAAAAAGTCCCACAGCACAGAGTACCACAATTTAATTATATGCTTTGTGGAAAAGGTCTGCTTTGTCTTGAAAACTCGTAAGACATTTGCTATATGTCCCCCACTTTTTCCGATAGGAAAAGCAGTTCTGAGATATGATGGCAGATTGTTTCCTCTACACCCCTTAGAACTTCATCTATCTTTAGAAATATTGACAACGTGATTTTATCCCTCATACTTCTCCTTGGCTGTCTCTTGTCCAAGCTGAAGATCCAAGTCTTTTTGATCTCTCCTTAGGCAGCAGGCTTTCTGTGCTCAACACCAGCCATTGCACCTGCCTGAACCTTTTCTGCTGCTGCTTCTTTTTTACTTTAAGGTGAGATGAAGCACTCAGAAATAGGTTCTAATTAGTGTAATTTGTTAAAAAATCATGTGACCATGTAAGAAATCTGTACTGCCATGACTATGGAAATCACTTTGTCGTTGATATTGTTCCTGACGGCTCATCTGAGGTGTTACACTTGATTATTGTTACTTTATATATCATGCATTATATGGATGTGTATTGATAAACTTCCTAACATGTATTTATCC